AGATGATATAATCAAAGTGTTGCAGAACACATACTAGTTTTTACCTCTTTCGTTTTTAACGTTATTTATGTAATCAAAACATTGCAGAACACATATAGTCTTTTTTTTTTTGTATCATGCTATCTTTCTATGTGGAAGTCTATTTTATCGAATAGATATTTATCAATGTTTGGAAAACTGGACCGGACACCGACTCGTTATTGTTATTGGATGACTGGTCGGACCGGTTTATAAATTTAAACAAAATAATTAAAAATATAGATATATATAAAAAATAGTATAATGGCTATAATTTTTTAAATACCATTAAAGATTTCAAAATTAGAATATTCTCCATCATTTACAAAATACTTTCAAAAACTCATTTTTAAGTTTTTAAAGACCCAAATTAATCAAAATTGTTAATAAAATTTGGTGAACTGGTTTGTGCATCAAACCGGGTCACCGGTTTCAGTCGGTTTTTACCGGTCCTCTGCCGCTTCCACCGGTCCTCTGCCGCTTCCACCGGTCTAACTCAAATCTGGTTTTTAGATCAACCCGGAACGGGTTATATTAACGAATTACGGTTGGACCGGTCCGGTCCGATTTTTAAAACTTGATTTTTATATATCTAAATCATTTAGCGTATAATTTATTATTTTCATGTTTAATATAACTATTTAGCGCGTTAAAGATTATTTATGTACAAAAATATTAAACAAATATATATACTTTTAGAACTTTTTAAAAAAAAAATAGCGTGCTATAATACTTTTTCGCTATTTTCTAATAACAATTTAACCATTGTCATTTACCAAAACAGTTCTTCAATTTTTGTCATTTACCCAATTCACTCTATAGATCTATATGTGTTCTTTCAAATGGTAATTATATTTATATCCTCTATATATTAAAAAAAAACATTAGAGATCATTTTTCCTTATGAGTCAGTCTCACAAATTTTCTTAATCTATTATTATTTAATTCATCTTTACTCATTATCAAACACATTTTAACTCCAAATAACTTATTATCATTTACTCCAATCCCAATAACCAAACACATTAAAATATTTAAAAACTTACCTAAAACAATTGTTCAAAGATTGTAATAATTATTTATTTTTATTTTTTTGGGTCAAAACTCTTGTAATATTAATTCTTTCCATTAAAATTCAAAAAAATGAATATCTATCTAGAAAAAATTATATATAATTTTAGAATCTTGATTTAGTTTTATGACCAATTAAATAAATCCAAATTTTTTTTTTTGAAACTATATTATTACCCACAACCTATAAGATTCAATTTATATTTCCAATCTTCCATTTTGTATATTTGAATTATAAACCATACCTTAGAAGATTATGATAACAAATAATTTTTATTAATAAGTGATATATGATGACTAAAAAATTAAAAATCTGTTGTTTTTAATTATTTCACGGATGGAAAACATTTTTATACAAAATAATTTCAGAATATATATATAATGGGTTTTGGATTTCTAATAAGATAGCACCTAAAATTTCTCTAGGATAGCACCTAAAACAGTTTACGACCAAATAATTAAATCCGAATTTGTATTTTAAAAATTACCCACAAACTATAAGATACAACTTATAATTAGCCATAACCTATAAAAGTCAATTTATATTTCCAATCTTCCATTTTGTAAATTTGAATTATAAACCATACCTTAAAAGATTATGATAACAAATAAATTTTGGATTCCGTATAATAATTCATTCAATAGCTATAAATGGTTTTTTAAACTAAAATTATATTAATGATTTTACTCGCTAATCATATTATATCGCGTATAACGCGAGTAATTATCTAATATATGTATCTAGGAGTTCAAATACGACATACGTTTAGCCCATTTAGTTATAGCAACACCGTATATTTAGTTTTTTGTAATTTACTTTTCCTTTAAAGTTTCTCATGCAGTTTTTATCACATCTACTAATTAACCAGTAATTTTTTATATTTTTACGAGAAATCAAATAATTTCATGAGTTTAAAACATTATACTATGTAAAATATAAGTTTTTACCACATTATTTTTACTTTGGCTCTAAATGGTGACCATTAGAAATGTAAGGAATGGGAGGAACATAACATTCATATTCATTCATAATATTTTTTTACCATTTATATGTAATAAAGATTCCATGTCATTTTTTTTCATTCATAATAGTATTAGAGAATATAGAACCAAAGTATTCTCTTTCTAATTTGAGAAGCAACAAAAAGAATGTATTTTTATGTAGAAACTTTTTTTTTATTATTTCAAATATTTATATCTTTTTTGTTACCATTTACAATGACAATTCGTCCAAAACAAAGTATGGCCGACAATGGCTCCAAGTTAGTATATCACTTCCAAATATGCTTTGGCTGGCTCCTAAGAATTTTACATCATTTGTAGTAAATTATAGTCATTTCGCCTTATATATAGATATTTTCTTTATAGTCATATAAGGCGAGATCA